GCGTGCACCATAGCCTTCAAAACAGTGCGTTCGGTCCAAGATATCGAACCACCGCGGTTGAGCATGCCCATGCTCTTCATGTGTGCATCCCCCCCCCCCCCCCCGAACCAGCAGTTGCGCCGGTGCACCCCCTCTTGGTCTGTATCCGGCAGCCGAGTTACTTCTTCCCCCAGAACCCTGACAAAAACAACAAAACAAGAGAGTTGGGGGACAGGAGGCCGTGGATTCGAACTCCAGCTCAGTTGTATTTAGTTGCAGTGCATCGTCCTGCTAAATATTAGTTCTGTTTGTGAGGTGGATTACATCATCCGAACGAATGCTGCTGCGGTAGTACTCATGTGCAGTCTAGAAGCGATGAAGGTATATGAAACAAGTGGCCGTTCCACGGACGTAGACTTTCGGGGTATCTCCAGACGTATATTTGGGAAGTTGAATTGTGTTTCGAGTTGCGGATCCGTCCTTCCGACGGTGAATTTCTTGTGACGGTTGGCTGGAGTGCCCTGGTGTATGTGATGCACCTTGTGCTCACTCTGTCCTGTCACTTGTCTACAAGGGGAAACCAAGCAAAAGCCGTAACAATCTCTTCACGCCTGTCAACCCGATCAGCCGTGCTCGTCCAGCAGCACTAGGCTTGGGACCAATCAACACTCTAGAGCAACGGCTAGCTCCGTATGTTAGTGAGGCAGACATACGTCGTCAGGAGAGTCGAAGATGCCGGCGGGGGCGAGGCCGCCCCGACTCACGACGAGCTCAGGACGGTCATCGACGAGGTCAGCATCAGACTGGAGAACATGGTGACGGAGAAAATGGGCTATCATGGACGCTTTGTCTCGGTTTGTGCCTGAGACACCGCCCGCCCGAAGTACGGCCGCAGCGGGCGGTGGGAGAGAGCGACGGGGGGGGGAATGCACGCCTCTCCAGGCGCGGGTCTACGCACGGACCACGCGCCGAGCATCGGACGAGGACTTGAGGGAGCGATTAGACTGCTGGGCCCAGCTCCGCAAGAACCCACGCCACCTGTGGAAAACGTCTCGCGCGAAAGCGAAACAGTGGGCTATCTGCACTGTACGACCCCACCATGAGGGCCCGGACCCCATATGCCTCAAGCAGCTAAATTTTGACGGCCGCGAGAAGAACTGGCTCGTGTTCAAGAACGATTTCATGACGCAGGTGCAAACGTGTGGAATGACTCGTGCACTGAACGGCAGCAGAGACAATGTGGTCCAAGAGATGGATGATGATGGTATGATAGAACAGGGGGTAGCGGTAGAGGAGTTTGGAGCATGTTGCTAGGAGCGATTTCTGATGAGAGTACCAAGCTGATGGTATACAACAGCAAGGGACCTTTCCCAGCACGGTGTGCACTTGAGCAGTTCAAGTCCATAGCGACTAGCCTAGAGTTGGCCCTCGGCCAGCCCATCCCCGGACGCGCTTTCCCCCGAGCGCGTCAAGGAATCGTGCGTATACGAGCATTTCGGGGATGGGCTGGCCGAGGGCCAACTCTAGGCTAGCCGCTATGGACTTGAACTGCCCAAGTGTACACCGTGCTGGGAAAGGTCCCTTGCTGTTGTATACCATCAGCTTGGTACTCTCATCAAAAATCGCTCCTAGCAACATGCTCCAAAATCCCGGTATACGGCAATCTCCTCTACCGCTACCCCCTGTTCCATCATGCCATCATCCATCTCTTGGACCACAATGTCTCTGCTGCCGTTCAGTGCACGAGTCATTCCACACGTTTGCCGCATCCGTAGCGCAAACCACTACGGCAGTGAGTGCCCTCAACACATCTCTGCCAGAGGTGCGGAGGAAGAGGGCACAATGTGAAACACTGCGCATAAAAGTAGTGAGTGAGACTGCTGAGGCCGCGTTCGAAGTAGACACATGGAGCACGAAGCACTTCGATAATCTCTCGGCGTGTTGCCATTCTTTCGCACAGCTGCCCCTTCCCCCTGCATGTGTATTGCAGTCGGTTATTTTCTGTTGAGAGTCGCCTCCGACTGTCCGGCGATGTGACTGTTGGAAAAACATGGATGCCAGATTTACTTTTTCCGGGTGTGCTATTTTCTGGTCTGCCTGCTGTCTTCTTGTGTTCTGAGCTGGTACCCAGGCAGTCCACGAAACTCGATCTTGCTTGTTCGGTAATTCTTGCTGATCTTGGTAGCTAGTCGTACAGATTGAGCTGAGGCGTCTTTGCATGATAAAAACTGGTGATGGTGTGGCATGCCGTTGTTCTCTCATTTTCGGATTGATGGCCTGCGGGGCACCGCGGTCATACTGATATGATATGATGTCAGAATCAATTTTCAACCCGAGTTGTTCCGGTGTGCGAAAGAAGACGCATACCGTTGTTTATCGACTTGAGGCCGAGCATTTGCTCTGAAATCAGGGAGGGTTGACGTAGGAATCTGCGACCCCTTTTTCGTGATGGATGGCAACCAGCGTCTCTCATTGTAGTACAGGTACCAACAAGTTGGTTGATGAGCCGTTTTCGATTTGAGACACTGCTTGATCTCTCACTGATGCAGGTTTTGAGGGGGCACCCATCCCTGCGATTTGGTTGGTTGCCCTTTCTAGAGGCCAGTCGGTTGAGAGCGATGTAGCGTTAGATGTTACGTTTGTCCGCTGCGATTTGACATTGGTGCTTGCGGTTGTTGTAGGCGTGCCCCGGTGCTAACAGCAGCTTGATATGGTAGGGATGCTGTCGCTGGGAGGGCGCTTCTTGACAAGGAGCAACACGAATGTCTGATATTTGCAAGCGCGTAGGTTTGCAATTTGGTGACTGCTGTGTTGATTTTGTGCTGACATGTTAATCAGCTGGATGACCCTCGGGGCGGAGGGTTTTGTTCCGGTGGCCGGGTTTTCCCTTCGTTCTGTTTTGGTTTTCTACACAGGAGTGTACGCTGAAACATTGATTTTGCAAGCATTCGTGACGACGTACAGAATCAGGGAGGGTGTTCGTGAGGTGGACTATATCATCCTAACGAAGGCTGCTTACTCATGTGCAGTTCGACAAGTACGTCCCTTACCGTGCTTGTAGTTCTGGTGCGTGATAGCACCAACCACGATTCCGATACCCGCGAATACACCTCCACCCACGATCAGGCCCGCGCTAAACTTGGTGAAGGGCTCCTTGGCCGTCTCGAACACCAACTGGAATGCATGGCAAAAAAACATGAAGCGCAGCCAGGGGAGTACTGAGATGGTCAACGGACAAAGCAAGCGGGTATGCCTGCTTTTGAGGAAACATACATACTTCGAAGCACAATCAAAGATAGACTACCCGTTGCCGATAATACCACACTCGAAGGGGATGGGTTGAAGTTTGGTTTTTGCCAATACAAAAATCCCAAGAGCACCAGGTTTGCTCGAAAATTGTCTCAGGTGGGGAAAACGTTGGTGTTAATATACATGTGGGTAGAATGGTTTTGCTCTGTCCGAAGCCAACAGAGGCAACGGCAACAAGACTACAACAAGAACATCCGTCCAACGAAAGTTCAATCTGACGTATAGGCGAATGAAGAAAACGAGGGTTTGACGGCGAGAATGTTCTCAGGAAGGAACTGCTGAACCAGAGTCGGGGCAACAACAAAAGACCAATGTGACTATTCTGTGCGGCACAGGATGGGAGTTTCGTCGCAAAAAGCAAGACCGTGTGGATTTGTAGCGCAGTCTAAAAACAAGGCCTGAGAGCGGAACAAGCCGCAAAAAATAAATGACACGCAGACAGCCATCACGAAGAAATACCATTAGTGGGTGCACTGCTGTGAAACACCTTTCGCGACGCCAATACACTTGGTGTCAAGACCGGCCTGGTCGTCGAAACTCCTTCGAAGTGCGCTATCCGGGCCTTGTTGTACGCGAGGGTTCACACGGTGAGCTAACCCGAGCTAACACTGCATGCCTCAAGGAGTGATAGTACCAGGACCCTTCGTTCGCACAACCCTAGGTGGCAGGAGATACGACACCCCCGCGACCAATTTTGAAACTTTTTCCTCACAGCAGAAACAGCGGAGGCGGCGAAAACGGCGGCATTGAACCCCTCTCGTCGAGAGCTTCCGAAGACGAAACTTGTCATTTATGCATCCTCTTCGTCGTGGTCGTGGAGCAACCGAGCTTTGAAAATTGGGCCAGGGTGTGTGTGGTACCTTATGTCACGTACGGAATGCAACTCACGTGAGGGTGGTCATCGTGTCCTCCACCCGCCCTGGGCATAGACCGCGACACGATCGTCCTGTACATGGTCATGTTCGAAGGCACCAAGACGAGCTGTATCAGTGTAGCGCCACACAGAAATGCACACAGGAAAGTAACCCGTAAAAGCGACTCGTCGCCCCGCACCGGAAAGCAGGGCTCGTCGGTGTGTTTAGGGATGCTTACAACAAAGTCGTCTAGTCTATTGTACTGTAGTACCTGCTCCGCCCTCTACAAGTTTAAGTTTCCTTGTCACGCGAGGGTAAAAGAAAACGCGCTTGTATCGAAGTACACGTCTGTTTGTCTGCTTTGTCTCCACGCCAACATTTACTAAATAACTGCTACTGGAAACGCCTCTCTCCTGCTGCACGTCCCCGCCTTATCACTGCGTTTTTGTGTAGGCGCACAAGACCCGGCTCGAAACAAGCAGCAGATGCTTAGCGAAGCAAACTGACGCCGACACGCTGCCCTGGTCTCGCTAGTGGCGAGACAGGTCTTCACCTGTACACAAAGTGGTTGAAGCCTTCGAGGGCTCTGCGGCTAGTACAAAAAAAAAAATTCTAGAGAAGGCAGCAAGCAGGTTTTTTTCCCAGAAGGTGCAATACATGAAGCGGAAGCAGTAGCCGATGGAGGAGGTCCTACCATGTTCCATCAACCTAGCGGACTCAGTCCTGGAGTAGTTGCGCAAACCACCACCTGAGTCCCTGAACACTGCTGCATTGATGCCAAGGGGTCAGACGCGGTACCCTACCCTCGGGTATGTCTGTAGTCTGTGAAGCGTTGTTATGCCCGATTCGTCAGCGAAAAAGCAAGTGTTCAAAGAGCGGCGTGCGGCAGACATCGGACATACTCACCTCATTTGCGGGGCCTGGACGGCCCTGCTGACAGTTCGAAGCATTGGTGCGGACATGGCTTACGTGAGGGGGTAGCTGTTGAGTTGCGCGCGAGCGTTCTCGTCGTGCCCTCGCAGTGCTCTCGCCGAGGGGGGCCGCCGGTTGGGGGAAATTGTCTGGGTGTTCCAGAGCCCCGAAAAAGGCGTTTTGACGGTTTCATGACATACGGTGTGGTTCCCTCCTCCTCTCTCTTCTCGCGGGCGCGCACTCGGGAACACCACGCACAAGCACAGATGCGTGCGCGGGAACCACGAACATTGTGCGTCAGTTCGCCCGGCTCCACCATCAAGTCGTGATCCTCACTCCCCCGTTCGCTGTCGTCACGTCCCGAGGGACTCGCGGCGACGGAGTGCGATGGAGAGCAATGACCTCCCTAATTTGAAAACGCACCGCAAGAGGCTGAAGAAAGACATCCAAGCATGGATTACGGCCTTTGAAGAGCGGGAAGGCCGTCCTCCCGAAGCAAAGTGAGCATAGAGACAAAGCGAACGCGCGGTAGAGCAATGTCGTGGCAACAGCCTAAAACAACACCCGCTGTGTATGCGATGTTGTACAGCAGCAGTAAACGATGTACTTGTTCTTCTTTATTTTTCTCCCTTCATTGGACTCTGTCGTCTGCCCCTCTGGCCCCCATACTCCACTTCTACTAGCTAGACGCCCCAACCGGGGCCAAATAGGAGCGGGGGGTTGGACCCCCTCCTGCGGTTCCTGCCTGTAATATTTTTATCGCGAGAAGGGTACAGCAATCCCTTCCCTCGCGACTTATGAAGTCGATCTAGTTTACAAACAACGAGCTGTGCAGCGCGTCGCTTCCAACTTGCGCCAGGATTTATAGAGTGAGAAAAAGAACTCACTTTGCCGGGACTCAAACCCATGACCTGGCCCTTGGTAGGCTGCGAGGGTACCCACTAGACCACCGGGGCGACCGGTGTACTGTACTCCTCAGAAGTCGATCACGTACCATGTACACCAGGTACGTTGACAACTAACAGTTCTGTTAGTACAAGCAGTGACACAGCCGTATTAAAGAACTCCAATCCAACCACTGCATGTAGTCCGACATGATGCCATGATATGCAAACAACCCTACGTCTACCACTGTTCAGCCGTCTACAATACAGTAGGCTAGACGTACCTCACCAAATGCACCCTACAATTAAGCAACCTTGACAAAACTGCCAAGCTTGCTGCACCACCCACCGTCAACTGCAATGCAGGGACAAAGAGGAAATCCGACCATTGTACCGCGAGTACAGGGAGCTAGAGGCGAAGATTGCATCCATCTCAGCGGCAAGTCCTGGCGATGGTGCTGCGACTGAAGGCGCGGGAACTACTCGTGTAGAACCTCAAGTACAACCACTGCCGGATGGAGCTGGTGATGCGGCGGGAGTAGGTGGTGACAACATGGATGTGGCGACAATCAAGATTGAGAGAGACGCCAAGAAACGAGACATCAAGCAGTGGATTCAGGATTTCGAGGAGCGAGAGGGGCACACGCCTACAACCAAGTGAGTATTGTAGTGGCTGTCAATTGGGAGAAGCTGGTTGGGACTCCCAGCACATCAGGACGTAACTTGGAAACACCGCTTGTTGTACTACTCCGGAAATAGTCGTGGTTCATGCGGTTCCCCTTGCCGTTGTCGACCGACAGAGAAAAGGCCCCAATCAAGAACCTCTACATCGACTTCAAGGAACTCGAGCGGCGTCTTGCGGCCTGTCCAAGTATTGGCGGTGGCGACGAAGATGCAGCTGATAATGCCTTGCGCCCTGAAATGGCGGCCGGTGGTGATGTCCCAGCTGATGTGGAGAGTGTCAAGGCTGAAAAGAAGAAAGTCAAACGCGAGATCCAGACCTGGCTAGACGAGTTTGAGGCCCGGGAGGGGCGCGCAGCTCTCCAAGAGTGAGTATGAACATCGGTGTTTATTTATCTGGAGCCTTGCAAGTGCTTTTGGTAGACGTATGGATAAAACATAAATATAACTCTATCGAGTATTTCTTCAAATTACTGTTTACGTACTCAACGGCTGTTCTAATAAGGCGTGCTTAACGCAGATATTACTTACCAGCACGTAATCAACGGCTGTTCAAATAAGGCGTGCTGAAGGAAGATGATACTGTAGCACCCTTTCCATCGCGAGGACCAATGCGACAGTGTGACCACAAGAAAAGGTTGTACGAGAGGAAATTCGAGGTACAGCGCTACAGTTCTTCCACTGACCCAACAGCCTTTTATCGTGTGCTCAAGCCCGTCGCATCGCATCCTTCCTTCTCCTGTGTTTGACCTATCGGGGTTTCCCTTGATCAATCGCGCAGAGATAAGGCGGAGATCCGGCCTCTATACAAGCGCCACAAGGAGCTCGAGCGTAAGCTGGCCAGTCTCACGGCGACATCATCACCACCACCGCCATCTACCGCTGCCGCTGCATCGTCTTCGTCCTTGGCGCGACCGCAGGACACCACCAACGGTGACCTCGATCCCACGGCCATGCTCCTGAGCCCCACATCGTCGGCGGGAGAGATACCGGTGACCGTACCACCGTACGATGGAGACAGCAGAACAGACGAAGATGCGAAACAAGATGGCGGCAAGCAAGATGGGGGCAACGGTAGCGGTCAGTCAGGGGTGGAGGAGGAGAAGGGCTCCTCATGCGCGGTAACGGCGGAGGGGGGAGAAGTCCCTTTGGTCGGAGATGGAGATAAAGGTATCGACGCCGGCAAAAACGAGGGTACCGGATACGTTGACGGGAAAGAAGATAGCCTTGCCCAAACGCCACCCGAGGGTGGCGGGGCAGACGAGGCTTCCTCGCCAAACATGGAAGCATTCGGTGAAATCACACCTCCTCCTATTATCACTGACCGCTCCTCTTCTTCAGGTGCCGATACCAGCACACTGTTGACTTCGGGGGGCGGCGAAGAAAGGGAAAAGGGCGGGGGGAGCGGCGGCGACAATGGCGAGAGCAACAGCAAGCCGACAACTGCGCAGGAAGCTAGGGTGAGGCGTATGCGTGCGCGATTCCTCAACATGAAGAATCTTATCGAAGGCGATGAGTCGGCTCTTCCCTCTTCTCCAAAGGGGGGAGAGGTACACGAGGAGGAAACTGGTGGTACGCTCACGCCCTCCCCCAAAGGTAAGGATACCTTGGTTTGGTCACGGAAACATTGAGGAAACTATGCACGTTCTCAGCCGCGGCAGTAGCCGAGCCGAGATGATACAGCAGCAGTCCCTCCGTCGTACTATGAAAGAACTCAACAATTATTTTTCAGAAGTTGGTCCGCTTGGAAATACAGTTGTATTTCTCCGAATCAACCCCACCCCACGGATGATAGTGTTCACCGTATGCACTTCACCACCACGGTAAGTCTGCGGTTGGTTTACCAAGGAAACGACAAGTTTTTCTCTATTGCGCCCCAAATTGACGCCGTGTCCGTTCTTCAGTGTCTGTAATAACATCACATGTCCGCCGGTGCTTGCCTGACGGGAATTACTCAAAAAACCTACGATATAGGTGCAAAGAACCGATGGGCGCTTCTGGGAGACGCGGTCGCGCCGAACCGTCTGTCGTCGCGCTCTCCCGCCCGACCAGCTTTGGCCCAAGCCACCGGCAATACAGACAGCGACAAGGAAAGAGACAAGACCGCCACCACCGTAACGACCTTACAGGCGCAAGGAAACCTCGCAGATGGTGTCACAAGCGAACAAACCTCGGACGCCGTGTTCGCGCCGCTTGCGGACGACGGGGTGTCGGGAGCGTGGGTTTCCGGCCAGTTGTCGGACCTCCTGCTCTCTGACGCTCCGCCGCCCCCGCCGCCTGCCCCGCCGGGGCTCGAGAGCCTCGAGGCCGAAGCCTCGCGCCTGCGTGGTGCGGTTGATCCCCCGCCGCCGGGGTACGTGGCGGAGTACCAGAGCGGCGTGCGCGGGGCAGAGCTGGTCGTGGCCAGCGTGGGGGTCGAGGAGGTCCGGGCGCGCGAGCGAGCGCTGGAGCTTGAGCGGCTTGCCAACGCTCGCGAGGAAACAAACATCTACCGCGCGCGGGAGGCGAACTTGCTGTACCGGGAAGACCGCGCGCGGAGGCGGGTGCTGGCGCTCAAGGAGGAGATCGAGAGCAAGGTCAACATCGAGAAGCAGGCGGTCATCGAGATCTCGATCGCGGGGGAGCGGGCCCTAGCCCCGGCGTTCACGAGAGCACGTCGGGGGCTGGAGAGAGCCATCCGGGCGCAGGCCGGCAGGGTGAGGGAGGTGTTCGGGGAACTCCAGCCGGGGGAGACCCCGGGAGGGAGGAAGTTTCGGGTGGACTGGAAGGGGGTGCCGCAGCCGGTGGAGATCCGGCTGCACTGCATCCGTGCCGTGCGGGACAGGCTGCCTCGTGGCTCGTACGTCATGCTCTCCAGCATGGCGGAGCGGCTGGGCGGCCGGGTAATGCGCTGGACGAAAGGGGCCGACTTCGACGACTTCGACGAGGAGGACAGCATCGACACCGACGGAGGCGACACCCGGCCGGCGGCCACCTTGCCCGTGAAGCACGGCGGCCGGTACTTCGACCGCGAGCTCAGGCTCGACCAGAACGTGTACCAGCTGTGCCCCAGCAAGTCGGAGGTTCGTCCCGGGAACGTCATGGTATTCGAGCTGTTCCGTCTGGCCGGGAGTGGCGGTGGCGGCGGTGGCGGAGGCGGCGCGCGATGCGGCAGCAGCCGGCACAAGGGCGGGGAGCTGGACGAAGACACCGCGGTCGGCTGGTGCGTGCTGCCGCTGGCGGACTCGCGGCTCCGAATTGTCCGCGGCAGCTTCCGCATCCCCTTGCTCCGCGGCGAACCTAACCCGAACATCGACCTGCACGAGGGGCTGGAGAAGCTCATCGCCGCTGACCTCGAAGCATGGCTCGGGAACCTGTACCTGGACATTCGCCACTTGCCGCGGGTGGCGAGGCTGGACGGGCCGGGGCTCGAAGGCGGTAGCGCCATCGGCGGAGAGGGGTACGACATCGAGTACGACCACGTGAGGAAAGTGGCACGGCTCGGGAGGGGGCTTTGGGGGAAGCTGATCCCGTCGGCAGGCCGCTGGGAGCGCTGGAAAGCAAGAAAGGAAACGGGTATGGATGATGACAACGACAGTCATGGAGATGGTAAAGGTGACCACGACGGCGACAACGACGGCGACAACGACGGCGACAACGACATCGAAACTGGCGGTGGCGACGATTCTGTTGGACTCCTGGCAGGTTCCGAAGCTGGAGAGGCCAAGTCGTTGTTGCCTTTGATCACAGAACTCGGAGAGAATACCTCAGGGGGAACAGCAGGGGGGGGGGGCGACACTGAAGACTTAGTGCCGAAGCCCGTGAGCAACGAGGCGGAGGGGATGGGCGCATCGACAGACCACGAAGAAGAGAAAGCCAGTACAAAGGGGGAGGAGATCTCCCCGGGTGATTCCAAAAAGATCAAGAAGGTCCCATGGTTTGGGACGAAAAAAGACAAGAAAAAATGGATCGACGACGCGCTTCCTCCACCGGACACAGTCAAGCTCAAGAAGGCTGTCGAAAAACAAGTAAGCTACACGCCGAGGTTTTCGTCTTACCCCCGTCCTGTTCGGTTAGAACTGACCTGTGCATAGTATCTACGCCGATCTTCAGCGCGTTATAGCCGTTTTCCTCGCATCCAGTGGGAGCACGCCTGCAGCAAGCACTTGAGTCGGAACTACATTCAGGAGAGTGTTTTCAAGGTATTGGTACGCAAGTGGGTGGCCGTCGCGTGCTCGTGGTCTCCGTCCGTGTGGTACAGACGTGTTTTCAACAAAGTACGGCGTGTAACTCGACCGTTTGTTCCAAATGCTTTCTTCGCCTTACCTTTTGTTCACCATGACGCGTTTCTCAGTCTACCAAAGAAGCCGCATCAGCGTTGACAACTCTCTCAGTTCCCATCATCAGGACGGACGTGGAGCTATTCAGATCTACGTAATTGTAGCACCTTTACTTCAGGATGATTTCACGCCGCCCTCTGCGCCACAAATCCCGCCGATCAGAACCAACCCAAATCAGAGAAACGCCATGAGAACTTGTTCGTGTTGTCCCTTGCCGCCCCCTCGCGGTCAACACACAGTCCAACAAAAGGAGAGGCGACGGTGGCATAGAGGCCCCCCCGCCCCAGGGCGGCTGGGCCTCCCATCTCGAGGGTGAAGAAGACGTGGACGACGGCAACGACAACGAGGAGCACGTCAAGATCGAAGAGACTGTCGACGAGGAGTGCCTGTCCGACGACGACATGCCCCGCGGGAGCACGTTCCGTTTCACCCCCTCCGGGGAGGCGGCCCTCGCCGTCGACAAGGCCGCCGGCTCCGGAGCGCACACCGGGGGACACGCGAAAGGCGTGGGGCTCAGGAGGAGGGGGGAGGGTGCGAGGTGGGACAGCGCGGCCCTCGGGCTGGGGCACAGGGGCCTGCCGAAGCGCTACAGCGGGGGAAACAACGGCGCGAGAGACTCACACATGTGGACCCCGCTGACGAACCCCGCGGAGATGGAGTTCTATCGGTTCGCGGTTGCCTCCGATCCCGGTAAGAATACCTGGCGATTGTGTTTTGGTTCTTATTACAGCTGGCAAGGCAACAGCAACACTGGTCTCTTCCTCGAAAGCACTGCGTTCTTCCCCAAACGAAGGTACATAGTAAGAACGACCCCGTTAGGTCGGGTCCACGGATTGAACCCTGGAGAAGAAGCCTCCCAGGCGCCCTGGCATCCATTTGCCGTAGATCGGGGAGTAGGCCAGACTCCCTCGTCCCCGCGAGTATCACGTGCAAAACCTGCTTCATTGAATGGACGGCCCCGAGCCATAACAGGATTCCGACCCTTTCGTCTCTCAGATTATGAACCGCATGGTGTGCGTAGTTTCCAACGAATTAGCGCGAGGAAGACCGCGCGGCATAATATAATCGGGCATGCAGTTATAGATCCGTTTCACACGAACAGTCAAGCCCCTATAGCTTCAGACGACCACGATCTTGATCGAGAGTTTCAATGCCTCCCCCTCGCCCCCGACCCCTTTCCTTTTCCTCTATCCCATCTATTGCTTTTCCCCACGATTGGAACGACTCATGCAAACCATGACGCCAGGTACGGACGCGCCGGCCACTCCAGCACATATCATCGCCCACAAGCTGCGCTATATCCAACAGGAGGTCCTGCTAGACCTCCACCCCCGTGGGTGGCGTGTGGTGGAATACTGGCTGGCCGTCATGGTGTTCGTCGGAGCGCTCTGGCTGCGTGTCTACATCCACGCGCTCGGGCAGTGGTTCTTGCTGTACGCGCTGGGGGTGCCGGTGTTTAGTTTCACGGTACGCGTTGCGTTGTGCTTTTTCGATATTTTCCCCACTTGCCATTGAAGGTAGATGTACAGGGATATTCCTCTTTCCAGAACCCGTCAAAATATTATTAAAGCAGCTGTTATCACTTGTAGGCGATGATATCTTGAGTATGGCCGGCCATGATGGTGTTCCATTCTAACTGTGCGAATCTATGGATGTTTTGAAACTGTTCACTCCGCACAATTCGGTTCCGGTTGTTTTTTGGGTACCCTTTCCATTTGCGGCTGTACACCACTCATCGACCTAGGTTGTCGCCAAAGTGCCTTCGACAGCCATGCATGCCGTTGGTGCTGTTTGAAACCACACACACGGACTGTCAGAATACTGTAGGGGTTGAAAACGATGACAAGGGTAGTGAAGAACAACTCCTTACCAACATATTTCTTCGACCCTCTCTCACTGCCCCCTCCACTCTCCCAACAAACACGCAATCACACGCACGTGTCGAACGCTCTCCCTGCAACACCAATAGCCGAGGCTATGGGAGTTTGCCATCAAGTACATGGACCGCTCATCGTCTCTTGGTGTGGAGATTGCCTTTGTGTGGTGGGGGCCGACGTTTGTGATGCTCTGCTTCGCGGCGGTGGCGGCCCTGGCTCGGCTGTGGGGCTTGGCGGCGTGCGGAGGAAAGGGTGGCGGTGGCGGCGAAGGTACTTGCGTAATCCATCAACAGTTTCTGACTCCAGCTTTGGCGCTGCACGCCGATTGCGTAGCCCATCGTCTCGGCTTCTTGCTCCTTTCGGCAGGACCGTCAATTTGCTCCTTGTGCTGCGAATGGCGTAGTAATTTAACTGCCGGTTTGCGCAGCGGTGCTACCTTGAAGATTGAAGAGACTGGCAGGTGCATGCGCGCGTGTTCACATACACACCGGGGAGCTTCATGCCTACCAGCTGATACTGACACTCGGTGGTCAGCTGGTTCGCACGGTCGATGCTAACCAAAGCAACACATCCCCAATCTCTTCCTCCAACTTTCGTCTTCAAGGAGTGCCGGAGGCGTTCTCGAGATTCGTGGCGGCGTTTGGCGTGGCGGCTGGGCTCGACCCGTACCTTCTGTTCATCGTGGATTTCATGGCCGGGAACCACGACTGCTCCTCCAAGTGCTTTGACTACACTTCACCGACGTGTCGGTGCCACGAGGGCGATAGCTGGAAGCTGTACGTCAGGTTGGACGCGGAAGAGGGGGCGGGGATCAGCGGGGCTCTGTTAACCGTGATGGTGAGTTGGTTGTGCCGTTGTGGTTGTCGCGCTTCGACCAATCCTTCTTCGAGAACTTCGTCGACAGCAATGTGTCTTGATGTTTCTGTTTATAACTCTCTTCATGACCGTGCCCTATTTCTCCAACCGGCCGATGCCTCACCTCCCCCCCTCCTCGTTTTCCCTTTCATTCCCCTCCTCGTCGTCAACCAATGCACCTCATGAAATCAACCAATCTTCCTTCTTCGGACGGATCATCTACCGTCAGATCTACGCCTTCGTGTCCGTCACGACGGCGCTCATCCTCCACCAGTACCTCCTCCACGCGCACATGAACGGCCGGATGCTGGACGTCTGGCGGCGCCTCAACGCCGACGAGGACAACTTCTTCATCCCGCACGACCTCGAGCTCTCGGCGGCCGAGCTGCAGCACGCGTGCGTCCGCGCCAGGAAGTGGAGGGGACCCAACGGCGCCCGCCGCGAGGTCGTGTTCTTCGACTTTCACGTCAGCGAGGAAGAGGACGGGCAAGAAGCGGGCGGGGCGACCCCTCGAAGTGAAACCGGCAGGGGACCGGCAGCAGTGTCTCGAAGGGGGCCGGGGTCGGCCACAGGCCGCGGCCCCAAGTCAGGCGGCGGCAAGACCACCCACGTGGTCATCTACGACGTGTCCGTGGACTCGAAGAAGTCGCTGCACCGCCAGTTCCTCCAGACTTCCGACGGCACCATCCTAGAAGTGTTCGGGGAGGCCGGGCGGGAGGTGGGCATGCAGTTCTCCTCTTCACTCAACGCGCTTCTAAGAGAGGAGATTGGCGGTGTCGGCGCGGGGTCGAATGGGGCCGAGAACGATGAGGGCATCTTCGCGGGCATGCTCCCGACGGCGGCGGCTTCGGCGATTCCGAGCGCGTCAGCGCACGAGGAAAGCGGCGAGAGTACCAGCGCTATGGTCATAGCCGATGCGCCATGACACGTCATTGGCCACGATCCCGTGGCTGGCTGCTGCTGCGGCCACTGCAGTAGTTGCTGCACGGACTACATACGACGGAAGCGGTAGGGTGGGGCCCACCACACACATGCAAGGCCTCGCCAAGGGGATGAATGTCGTCAGGCGTCGGGATTTCTCGAAGTGGTACCTGTATGTTTTTTAGAAAGCGCGCCGAGCTCGCACTGTGACGTCAGGCGAAGCTGAGCGCGAGAGTCGTTAGGATGGATAGATGGGGATGAGTCCAGATATCGTGGGGTGTGCCATAGGCTGGGGGGGTGGTGACAGTGGCGTGGCGAGGCAGACGCTCATGGCGGAGAGGCCAAGTGGAGGGTTATGAACTGGAAACACGAACCCTTGTATTCCAGGGTCAGTCCTGTCGGTATCGAGGCGGTACCGTCCAAGAATAGTGAGGCTTTTGATGGATTAGAATGTCATTTGTTGGGGATAAACCCTGCTCACGTCAAACGCTGGAGGCAAGCACCGCCTGGGGGAACCTGGAGAACAAACAAACCTCCAGGCTTACCTTCCTCCAGTGTGACCACGGCTGGTGCTTCAACATATGCCGAACGATGTAGACTCTGTCGCCCAGAAATGGATGGGACGAAATCACACTCACACACTCGAGCGGGGTAGACAAGAGTTGCATGTGTCGAAGTCATATTTCATTGTATTTTATGGCCTTACAACGATGGCACGAAGCATTACTGTGGTACGACCGTAACCTTAAAAGTAGGGGTCACATCTGAAGGTCTCCCGATATAGTGCCGGTATGTGTCCAGGCGATTTGACCGGCACTATACCGGGCACCGGCACTATTCAGAATTGAGCCTTAATAGTGCCAAACCGGCACTATTCAGGACCTGAAAATCCCTCTATAGTGCCGGATTGGCACTATTCAGGACTGTTCGACTTCAGAGTGCAGCGCTTGCCCTGTGCGGGGCTGACAGAGTACCAAACGAACGGTATTTGGATCAATCGCGAGGTGGGCGACGTGGGCGGGCTTCATTAAGTTTTGTGAGGCTGGTGGACTGTCGAAAACACGGCATTGGTCACATTTTATTTAAAATTGACTCGATTGACCAGATAGATTTGTTGCACAGCAGTTGTTCTCTTCCCACCTCAGCACAAGCACTCGCTGGTGAAACGTTGCTGCTGCCTTTCAACCGTCAATCGTGCTGCCCGATATAAGTCACCATCAAATTATTATGTGTTGTATTGCAAGAAATCCGTAGCACTATTCAGGCAACCTCAAAGGCCCCCCTCGACAGCGAAAGAAAGACGCTCATGCACGCATCCGATGTACATTTGGAGGTAAAACATGCATGGATGTAGTGCTCCTTACATGAACACACAAAAGCAGATGCAACCTAAAAAAGGGGTGAAGAAGATAACGAACTCCCCTGTTCCTTCGATAAAAAGCTAGAGAGAAGACCAAGCCTTCAGAACAAAGAAAAACGACTGGCCAACCAAAAGACGTCAGTCTCAGTGCAGTCAAAAGCAGAACAATATTTGTTTGTCAAGGCCGTGAGAGGGCGTCATGGAGGAGGGTGAGCTATTCTCTGGATAAAAGACAGACATGGTAGCAACAGAGAGAGGAGAACTACGTGACTGCCAAGGCTTACTACTTTGAACACGCGTTCGTATCGGCGTGTTTTCATCCTTCCTTAGAAGTATTTTAGGTTCAGAGGGAAGGCCATAGGGTAGATAAACGCTGCAAACGACACGGCAAACATAATACTTCTTAGATAACAGTATCAAAGAGAAAACAGTATGCACGTGAGCTTGCGGAGGGCAATTTCCACGATGTAGAAAGTAGGACTTTCTTTTATTCTGCGATTAGGGGCAGGTGTCTTTGAGGGAGAACGATTAACCTGGGGTTGTTGCAAGCAAGGCTATATATATTCTTTCTTTTCATGAAAACTAGCAACAAACAGGGTGCCAGGAAGCTGGCGAACGACATAGCGCATGGCTGAAAGCGAGCATGTCAGGGGACTCCCCTTTAAGGGGAAAACACTATTATTGTCGCTCGATCGTGCCCGAAGGGTGTATTTTGTATCTAGCTTCAGGGTGTACATTTGTGTATGGCTGGATTTCGTCACAACGTGCTACCAAGCGTACGAAGACCAGTCTAAGCAAATGTTCTCGTCTCGTCGTAGCACTAGTGCTGGGAGGAAGACAGGGGTAGCAAAATGTTACATAGATGGGTAGTTTGTTGAATCAGCCTGTACCTCCGAAATATCAATCAATAGCGCTGTCGTGTCTCCCGCCCAGCGCACCCTTCTCTCTTCGATAATGCGAGAGCGGGGGGGCGATAGCGGCAGGTGAGGCAAGAGTTCCCAATAGGGTAAGCACAGTAAGCGAATTGGAGAAGATTTTGTAGTCAATGGACGGGGTGGCACCTGTAAACTGAACGATGCATGTACCAAAAGGTAGAGTGTCCTTGAGAACATTTGAAGATAGACGGCATTTACTAGACCCCAGTCAGTTGGCATGGAGAGGCGACTAGCGTACCGCATGAGAGAGGACGGTCACCGGCGTCGCGCTTCTCCTTCTTGGCCAGTTAGTCCCTTGGAGACTTTGAAGAAGAAATAATAAACCTCGACGACGTGTCCAAGTACGCAGAGCTCTCTGTGCCTAGTCCTGGTTCAGAATCTGGAGCCGAAGGGCGTCGCAGAAACTTTTGCTTTTCCGACGACGCTTGTTGTGAAAAGAGTCCTGGACAGACGTTGGGGAGATTATACCCTGTATGAAGGGGATTACACATTACCCCGCCCTCTTCGAGGTTGCTAGGCAATAATACTTCTATCTCTACAGGGGTGTAACCGGAACCCAACCGGCTGGCAACGAAGTACTTCTTCACAGTCTTCTATGATTCACGGCTTCGCTGGAAATTCCGTAAGTTCGAAAATCCGTTTTTGGTGCCCGACCATTTTTTAGTTGTTTTTGGAAATAACTATGACGGGTGGCAGGATTTGAACCCGGGTTCTCTTCCACTAAAAGCAGACGTATCTTCCGTCGACGTCAACGACGTAAAAAGAAAGAATGAGTCGTTCTGGATACACGTTGGGTGAGATTGTACCCTGTTTGAAGGGGGTTTCCACATTGTTATCTTGTCAACGAATGTCGATCGAAACGTAGCACCCCGCCAAGATCTCTACTTGTGTCTACTTTGTCCTTGCTCGTTGTTTCGATTGCATAATACCTTCATCAAGTATCGGTTATCGCGCTAGTGGGGCGTTGGGGGTTCCATCTCACTCGAAAACCTACGCCATTACTTGACGTAGTTGTGGGTGCTGCTCGTGAATGCTCGATCTCTGCGGGCATCGACTCGGTCGCTCCGAACGTTCGACAAAGCCTTTATCCGGCCCAAGGTGTGCGGATATCGAAACCGAAAGTGTGCGGCCTCGGCTATGTAGGGCTTGTCGGCACCTTGAGAGGCGAAGGCCGCTCGGACATATCCGGCTTTGTTGTCTCTCTCGATTCGCGCTTGTTTCTCGGACTTGATGTCGTTGAACCCGATGTTTGCAACGCTCCAGTTGGAGATGGCGGACGATTCTCGATGGTTATCGTTGTTCGTTTCATGGCCTTGTCGTGCCAGCGGTGTCTCAGATCCCGCCGACATGCTATGAGGTGATTGTGTAGTACCCCATCGCCCTTCGGTTTTCCTTGATGTTGCGTTTTTACGTGCTGCCGCTTGCTGCACAAGCGTGTAAGCGGCCGTCACGTTGTCGGCCGAGTTTCTAGCCTCCGAAGTGGTGTGCGTTGCAGCAGAACAGAGCATCTTGTCGTTGGTAATGGTTTTAGCACCACCACTTTGAGCAGATCTGTGTCCACTGCTTGTGTTGATTGTCGCTCTTAGCTGCGCGTCCGAGATGGCACGGCATGGTGTCCTGGTGGCAATGGCCTTCGGTGCCACTTGAGGAGAAGGAGACGAACCCTGTCGAGAAAAGGGCGCAGTTTCGGGCGACACGCGCGTGAACGTGCGAAAGGAGATCAGCGAGTAGAGAGTCAAAGATACTGCTCAAGATGACCGCAGTTGGGTTGGCCTAAATACGGGAATCTTTATCGGCGACGCGCGTACACAAACGGAGGAAGATGAAGGTCGGTCAGCGTTCGAAGTTAGGAATCGCGAAAGGACAACGGTGCATCAGAAATCCTAAAATGGAGGCGTCAACCCTGGGAGAGTGTAGTGTCCGGAACGTGGTGGCGATGGCCTGCCACCGGAAGTTGTTTTTTCTTGGGGTGGAAGGTGGCGAGGAATGCCAAGCGGGACCAGGCGAAGTCAGTCAAGCTAGGGTGGGGTGCTAGCCTTCATGGTCGAGCTTTCATGGTCGAGCCTTCATGGACTCCATTCCCAGGCTCCGGAATACTCATTTCCCAACCTCCTGAAGAATATTTCGTAGCTGTTGAGAATCACAACAGTGACGATTTAGAACAACACTCATCTATTGTCCCACGTCTCGCAGATCTGTACTCCGTGTATGTGTGTCTGTATTGCATGAAAATACAATAACCAGACCCCCACACTCGCCCAACAAGGTTCTTCCGGTGTACAACTCAGTAGTGCACCCATTTCGTGAGGGGTTCTGAAGATGGAGTACTATTGGCACCATGAAGTCACACAGGTAGACAGAGATTGGGTTTTACGTGTGGTGCTCACCGCTCCCACCCCTTCGTACTGGTTCGCGAATCGAGACTTATGATGCGCAGTGAGCTTTCCAGCCGGGGCCACCCCACGGTGAAGCGAGAAATTGGATGTCGTGTTTGGCCATTCCGCGAAGGTGGCCTTGGACAGCGAACTGCATTGTTTGCGGTTTTCTGGTCTATCATAAAGCCAGGGGTCCTTCGCGAAGCTCGTGTATTGGTCCAGGCTGATTCAAGGGGAAGGAAGCGCGTGGGTGGCAGTTGTGGATGCTTCGGATAAGGTGACAATGTAACGGTCGTTTGCAGTGTAACCTCTGATATTTGTGTCCTCTCTCGATGTTTGTACTCACTTTTCAGTTGTACAGGGACGAAATTTTGAGTACTGAATACCTCTTCTATTGGTTGTGGGAGTCAGGATGCGAAGTAGGCAGGCCTACGACAAGCATGAATGAATGAGAAGGATTAGCAAAATTCTTGCACAGCGCGACACGAATGTGCACAACGTCGTAACTCCAACAGCAATCTGTTTACGAAGACAAAGGCGATGACATAAGACGTGGTGGCACACAGATACAATGAGATAAACAACAGCCGTGCGGATGTGGTCCTTCGGCTGGAAGAGGTTTACTACGACACAGGCGGACGGTTTCCCCCCGGGGCTTTTGTTGACCTCACACAGAGTTTGGCAGAAAGGTTCTTCAACACCGGTATGCCAATGTCTTTGTTCCGGCCGATGTCACTGATTCTTCACTGCATGTAAGGACTGGAACACATAGGTAAGTCCCGCTGAATCCCGTCATCGGGCGGTTGTCTCGTGTGTTTCTGTACGCATAAAAACATGAGAACCACTGCTGTCGACTTTATATATAATTCAGGAGCTGGTCTACATAAAGAAAAGTGAAACTCTCCATTTCTCAATTAAAAAAACTTTGATGTTTGCCTTGAGTGAAGCATAATCCCCGCTACACAACACCACACTTTTTACCACGGCAATGAGATATTAGACAATGAACGAAAGAGGTATGAAATATAAGGAAAAGTAAATACACACACACAGAAAGACTACCCATTCGAGATATACCCACAGGCGAACGGGATGAATGCATATGCTAACAGCAGTAGAGAGAAACGATGCTGCGAACGCGGTTGGTTGGTTGGTTGTGTGTCATTCATTCGAACTTGACCTGCTGTATACATACCTCGCCCAATATTCTGTGTCCATCCTTCTGGCTTTTTTCTCCCTCCTCTTAGAAAGACCTCCGGAGGTATCGGGGTATCTGGTTTCTCGTCTCTTTTCTCTTCTCAGGTTCTCACTGCTGCTCACTGCTGTATGCCCAAGCCTGTCACTCGAGGACGGTAAGCTAGCTGCTAGTAAGCTGCGGTGGTGTTGGTTGCCGACGATCCAAACGACACCGGTTTCCCCGCCGCTGACGTACCCGCCCCCTGCTCAGCACCCCCCGCCCGCTGTATATTTTTCCCTGTTGCGTTTCCCCCGCGACCCGGTCGCGGGACACGTGCATCAAGCTGGAGCCTTGACCAGGCCAAGCGTGAGAGGAGTGCAACCGCATCGCGACTAGCAGTAGAGGGGGGCACGGACAGGAAAGTGGGCGCACGAGGAGCGAACCTTCGTTGTCTCTCTCCCGCATCCAAAATGATGGTGGCAGCACGGCCGCAGCGTGCGGCTCAGACCACGCCCCTCCTGAGCATTAGCATGCTCTTGGTCGTGACAGTAGCAGGAGCGGGGGCCTCGACAGTCGCTAGCGTCATGCCCATGGCCTTCGCCGGGGGCGACCTCGTAGCAAACCTCAAGGAAGTCGGGGAGGCGCCGGTACGAACAGTCTCCTGCGTCGGCGCGCAGGGGTCGGGCAAGTCCACCCTCATGAAGACTATGTTCGGGCAGGGGGCCAGCAACCTCGCGCTCCTAGAGGCGAGGAGCAGCGCGGCCTTCGTGCCGGAGACGAACGAGGTGGAGGTGGGCGCGGGGCAGGCGATGGTGTCGCTGGCGGTCTCAGACGCGACGATTTACAACGTGCTGGTCCACGACTTGCGCCGACCCGACGCTCTGTCGGATGTTCAGGTAAGCAACAAGCAGCGGCATGGCGCCAAATTCAACTGCACCAAGCAAGTTGCAGAGAGGGAGCAGCAGCAGCAGCAGCTGGGACGAGCGAGGAGGGCCCCTCACGGTGTGCGATGGTGCTCTGCGGGGCTCGGGCGTTGAGTGAAAGAGCCATCCCACCCTTGACGTGTTTGCTGCTTGTCGCTCTGCGTACTCTGCTGTGGCTTGGAACATGTGTTGCCCGCGTTCATGTTGCACACTGCACTGCCGTTGCCCCTCCCCACAAAGGGAGCCTCATGCTTGGTGTGAAGGACGCCTCTTTGGATCTTTCGTATCGGTCCAGCTCGAACCAAGTTACCTTGCCACAGGCATGCAGAGTTGAGGTGGTTGGATGGTAGGCTTTGTTGAACTCTCGAGTGGGGGGAATACGCGCTTTTTTTAGTTGTGCATCCAGATGCCACCGCAACCCTGCACAGCAGCGGGGTATGGCAGCTACCTTCGATAGTCTGTTTATGGTTTGTGGCAAGCGCTGCAACCTGCGGGCACCCAAGAAGACTTGGAGATTTTAATTTACGAAGAACGACTTGCGCTCATCTGCCGAGGTAGCGAGTGGCCAACATCAGTTCGTGATATTGTACATGCGCGCATGCGTCGCATTTCAGCGCGTTGCCCAATTGTTAGGGAGAACCTAACAGCTTAGACGTTACACGATTATGGTGGCAGCTGTACCGCCCGCGACTGGACAGATCTAGTGCAGCGCTGTCGAGGACACGAGCACGCCTTGGTGTTCGTTTCTTGAAGGGCACGGCGATGAACGAAATCAGGACCAATGTTACAACCTCAGCCCGAATTTTATAAAGTCTTTCTTCCATTTATTTTTGGCGCGGGAGAAAGATGGATGTACTACTGTAGTAGCGCCCCATTCGATTGTGTGCGAATATCTCTCGTTGTGACTCCCTCATTTTCGTCCTTAGTTTCCCCCCCGACCTCCTTTTCTCCAAGCATCAGGCGACTGCGTGAGGAACTGAGGAAGACCCAAAGCAGCCCTCTCTCTGTTAACACCGTCGGTGCCATATGCTCATCATGCAGTTGACAAGTACCAATAACCGTAGAGTCGGAGAGATGGCAACTCCCGGTTAGCGTTTCTTTATAGCGTATTTCTCCACAACTAGGAGGGTGCGAACTCCAACCGATACCTCTTAGGACAGCCCTCGACGAAATGTTTCGAAAACTACCCTTTTCGGCAGTGGTACCCCCCTGGCTGTGGAGAATTACGCTTTAAAAAAATAGCTGACACGGGGGTGCCATCTCTCCGACATTTACGGGCAGTCGATTTTGTCATGAACACTTTTCATGCATACATGTCGTAGGTCAAACCCAAGCGAGCCCCCCCCCTCCCCCCCCTCTACGCGCTGTTCGCTCCAACCCCTGCCCCCAACTTTCATAAAGCCTGCACTTGAGGAACTCCTGACGCTCTACGAGGACGGGGTGGTGGACCCCGAGCAGCCAAAAACTTTCGTGGTGGCCGTCCGCGATTGCGAGGACGGCGACGAGGCCGAGCTCGAGAAGCGGGTCGGGGAGAGGCTGCAGGCGATCTGGGCGGCCGCCGTCAAGCCCGAGGTGCCCATGCGTCACGCTCTCGTGTTTGCGCCTGGCGTCTAGCTTGGCACCAGATATTTCCGAAGTATTAATGTGCCGCAAAGTTGCGAGGTTTCTGTCCCGAGGGGGCTGCGTTTCTTTGCGAAACTATTTGGGGCTTGGGTGTTTGTTCTTGAAGCTAAGCGCCCCTTCGTTCTTGTTTTTTTTTCTTCTTAATATGTCACGCACCAAATCCATCTTTATGTCCAATAGAACAGGGTAGGCTGAATTGGTACGTAATGACTGACTTCACAGCGATTTTTTTGTTGGTCGGTGTCAGGGGTTCGCGGGATCGGCGCTATCAGACGTGCTGGACGTGAAGGTCTTCACGTTGCCCCACCACAGCTTCGCCAGCGACGAGTACCTGCTAGGGGCGGGCCTGCTCAAGAACAGCGTCATGGACGGGGCCGCCGGCACTCCGGCGGTGGAGGTGGCCCGCCTGCTCCAACAGGTGTACCTTGTCTTTAGGCGTTGCCCAGAAAATGGTACAGTACAGTAGTCGCGTTTGGATATCGCGTTGCCCAGTACGGTCGACACCGCGCACCGGGCGTTTAGTTTTGCTTGGGAGCAAGTTGTGGGTACTGCTGTTGTAGTGGTTGTCGATGGTGTGGCCGGTTCTGGTGTGGACTTACGGGTCGGCTTTGTCTTGGTTGGCTACTACTTGCGTGCTGCGAGCTACGCGGGGACACGAACACCGATCGTTTTCAGCCTCATCCGTCAACCGTCATCACTTGTTCTCATTCCTGTTGTTCATGTTGTTGTTGTTCTTTCTTTTGCCCTACTTCTGCTGCTGCTGCTGCTGCTGCTGCTGCTGCTGCTACTCTGTGGCTAATCTTACTGCGGTGCTGTCGCTTTTTTGTGTTTTCTACAGGTGTCGTCCTACGCGGGGCCGGCGACGGAGTCTGTCGGGAGCAACGCCCTGACCGCCTCATTCATTTCTAGCTCGGCGGCGGTCAAGTGCATGGCCAGCTTCAAGGTGTGGTTGGTGGGAGCATTTCGGAGCTGCTTTGTATCCCCCTCCGGGCATCGTGCTTCACCGTTCCTCTCGCTTTCTCGTCCTGTCATATACCGGATGTTTCGTCACGTGTTTACTTCGGTCGGTCTTCATCCTATCGTCATCATTTTTGTAGTCGTCGTCGTCGTCGCTCGTTCTCGATCTTGTCGCTTGAGGCCGTCTACAACAGTGCTCCCGACCTGCTCTCCTCTCCTGCCTTTTGCCCCTCGAGGCCCACTACTGTCGCGGTTTTGGCTGCTTCGAGTCGGAGGCAGGGGCCACGGACGAGGTTGTGCTGAAACACTGCCTTGCTTCTCGTCTGGCGTCGTGCTCGTCGTCGTGTGACCGGCGCTTCCCTTCCCATACTAAAGTTTTTGGCGTGCAAGTTGTGGCGGCGAGTGAACCGTGTCTCCGATTAAGACCGCGGGGTTCGCGGAACAACACCGTATCGTTTTTATCTCGTGTTTTTTTCTCTGCTTGTCGATTACCACCGCCGTTCGTGTGGGCCGCCATCCTGTCGCTG